CATTCTTATAGCTCTGTGTAACCTAAAACTGGGGCAATGCCTCTTAGTGCTCAATATCACCCATCAGATTCTGTTCCCCCTGTGTTAAAGTGGGGGAACAGTATATGATGGATGGCTTTTAGCCATCAGGATGCATTCCCCCTGTTTAAAACAGGGGGAACAGTATCTGATGAATTATGGCCATCAGATATTGTTATAGGGTGTCTGGGCTCTCCCTTAGAGAGAGAAGCTCAGTCATACGGTAGGGACTAAAGAGTAGGGCCACTGCTCCTCCATGGAGGAGCCAGTTGAGGTAGCTTGGGAATCTAGTTAGGATGCCTCCTGGATGCCTCCCTGGTGAGGTGTTCTTGCCACGTCCCATCAGAAGGAGACCCAGAGGAAGACCCAGGACACACTGGAGAGAATATGGCCTGGGCATGGGAATGCCTCAGGATACCCTAGGAGGAGCTGGCCAAAGTGGCTAGGGGGAAGGAAGCCTTGCATGCCCCTACTTAGGTTGCTATCCCCGCGACCCGGATGGATGGATGAATGGATGGATGGATGGATGGATGGATGGATGGAGAAACATCAGGTGTTGAATAAGGCTGCTCTGATGGACTTTTTTTGGTGTCCTCAAGGTGGGAAATGGCATAGGGAAGGCATTATATTGAGTTGTGACAGATGAAGTATGCGAATGTTGTGGAGTCATTGCACTAAGAAGCGGGAGCGATGGTGAGATCAGAGTGTGGGAATACCATTTTTGGGAGAAAATTTTTAAACAAACTTGCAACAGGAACCTCTGTGAGTGCAAAGGTGACATCCTAGAAGTCCATGCTGTTTTGAAGTTGTGATGAGGTCTGCTGGTAAAGGTGTGTGATGGCTGAGCAGAAGGGAGTTGCAAAGAGGTGTACCAGAGAGTCGTGGCCTTGGTGTTGGATGGAAGACACTACAGAAAGGCTAAGAGGCAAACCGAAGCCTGGAACTGCATCATCGGTTATAGGTTGGGCGATTGTTCCAAGGTAGTCTCAATGGAGTGAGACAGTAGGGAGAGCAGAACATGCCAGGTAAGCTAGCTATGCACAAACGTGGCAGGAAAACCACACCATACTGGCCAATAACCAGACTGAGGTAAAATCCAGAAGTAATTTACCTTGAGAAAACACCAAAAATAGTTAGGAAAGCAAGGCCAGTAATGTTAAACAAACTTTTGTCAATCTTAATCAGATAGGGAAGCGGCAGCCAAGTGGGCCAGTTTCCTCTTGCATTTGTTATTGTATGACTTGTACATGAATGTTGGGGAAACTGAGACTGAAAAGCCCACTTCAGCTCACCTTAGCCTGGTGAAGGTCCACCCCATACATAGAGAGTTTTTTGGCATTCTCCAAAAACATCAGGTCTGCCTGAGCTGGACACATTATCCTGCCAAAAGAAAGAAATAGAAATGTAACAATTTATACATTGAAAAATGGGAAAAACAAAATATATTGTTCTACATTATTAATGAATGAGTCATTCATTAATGATGCGCTGTATTGTGTTAGATACACTGCAGAAATCAAAGAACAGTGTTGAACAATACTATTAAAGTGCCTCAGATAATAAAATGTAGTCAGACCATTAAAAAGACATAGAAATAAAGTGGATAATAATTTGAGAATGTAAAAACCATTTCCATCACTGGTTGACTTAGACCGTAATCTCACCTATATGTACGATGCAGCTCCATCATTTTGTCCTCCAGCTCCTTTGTCTGACCTGAGGCCATTTTCATCTCCTTAGCATAATCATTGCCGTGCACCTCAGGGTCATACTCACCCAGCTCTGACTGCAAGGCATAGGAACCTAGCAGAGCCAGGGTAACAAATGAGCAAGGAAGACGTCCCTGTAGGATGTCTTTCCGCAGCTGCAGACACAGGTAGTACCTTTAATGTACAAAACAGAAATAATTCATCAGTTACAATTTTTCAAGGAAAATTGAAATGGGCTTTTAATGGAAGTCTGAACAGAGCAATTAAGCTGAACATCTTCTACAGAAGGTTCAGTTCAGGGACAAGCTCATCATCATCATCATCTCGTGCCCCCACACAAACAGACATCCCACCTTCCTCTGACCCACAGCTTTCCTGTCCATCTTCCACCTCAGTCATGGACTCTTCTGCTTCCGAAAGTTTGTCTTGTGGAAGCAGAATCAGGACCAAATCAGGAGATGTTGCTGCTCCCTTTGGTTCCAATACCAAAGGAAACTCACCCATCAGTCATCACTGACTGATCAATGACCTGACATCCCACATCATGAAGGTCTTGGAGAGACTCCTGTTGGCTCACTTGAGTAAGCAAATAAGCACATATCAAGACCCCCTGCAGTTTGCTTATTGCGATGGATTTGGAGTTGAAGACACTATCCTACACTGCTTCAGCAAAACCCACTGTCATCTGGACAAAGCAGGCAGCACCATGAGGATCATGTTGTTTGATTTCTCCAGTGTATCTCACTCAATGCAACCTGATCTGCTCTGTGAGAAACTCCAGAAGACACAGGAGGAGGCCTCAACAATCGCCTTGATCTATATATGACTACCTAACAAACAGACCACAGTTTGTGAGACTGAAGGACTGTGTGTCTAACCAGGTGGTCAGCATCACAGGAGCACCACAGGGAACTGTACCCTCACTATTCTTTTCACTCTATACACTTCAAACTTCCAGCACAAATCCGACTTCTTGTCATCTACAGAAATACTTAGATGACTCTGCAGTTGTTGGGTATATCAGAGATGGACAAGAGGCTGAGTAAGTGGGAACAGTCATCTCATCTTGAATATGAACAAAACAAAGGAGATGATTGCAGATATCAGGAGAAACAGAGTTAGATCAAATCCTGTTTCCATCATGGGAGAAGAAATGGAGGTGGTTCATCAGTGTTCATCTCAACAACAATCTGAACTGGAGATGCAACAGTGAAGAGTCTATAAGAAGAGACAGAGCAGACTAGACTTCCTCTGGAAGGAAGCTGAGATCCTTCACAGTTTGTATCAAGATGCTTCAGATCTTCTATAAGTCTGTTGTTGAGAGTTTTATTTCTTCTGCTGTCATTTGTTGAGGCAGCAGCATCAGAGACCAAAAAAGGCGCAACAGCCTGATAAAGAAGGCTGGTTCTGCTCTGGTTCTGTTCTAGAACGACTGTGGAACCTCTGAGATGACAATGCAAAAAAAGATTTGTCGTAAAATCAAGAAAATTGTGGAGAACCCTTAGTCTCCATAGTGTCTTCAGTCAGAGGCTTCTTCAAATGTTTAATCGGATTCAAGTCTGGACTCTAGCTTGGCCACTCCATGACTTTCAGACTGGCGTTTGAGCCACTCCTTTCGGACCTTGGCCATATGCTTTGGGTCTTTGTCTTGCTGACAAATAAATCATCGTCCCAGTCCAGAACAATGAGGTTGTTATACAGTATGTCTCTTGACATTACTGCTTTCATTTTTCCCTCTATAAATAAAAACAGCCATAAAAACATGTAGAGCCATACAGTCATATAGAGTCCCTATAAGTATTTCTGCAACTAGTTCCAAGAAGATGAAGCAGAAAACTGAAAAGATTTATTTCCAAGTTCGGTTCGGAGTATAGACAAATAGATTGAAGACATTTTTCACAAAAGAAAACTCATCTGTTCCTCCAAATTTGAGATTAAGAGCCCAAAAGCAATGACTCTCAATCACACTTGGACATAATTAGAAGTTGTTGCAAAACATATACTTCTGGAAGTAGTTTTACTGTACTTTTTGCTTCCACTTGAGCAATGCTATTTTAAAGAGTATATATCATGCTTTTAAATCCTCGCTTTTTACATGTAAATCAATCACTTATGGTCCATATAAAGTGGAACTGCAATGCTTTGATCTGAATTCCTTGTGATTGTAGGCGCCACAGACTCATTGTTTATCCCTGTTCTGAGGTGTGTTTATAGCAACTTTTTTTGCTGCGGTTTTTTTTTTAAAGTGAATGAGATATTTCATGTCCTGCCTATCACAATTACAAATTATTGTGATTAACGATAATATTGTCATTTTGAGACCATTGTTAAGTAATAGCATAAAAATTGTCGATAACACTTTATTTGAAGGGGGTTGAATAAGACTGTCATGACACTGTCAAACAT